AAATGGATGGTAAATTGGTGAGAGAAATGCCCAAGAACTTTTCTCACATCAATTTCAGGGTTAAAAATATCTGTTTCTTGTGATTTGGCCTGGAATGTATATGCAATTTTATCACAAAATGTCCCCATGTTGACGCAGTGTCCTTATTTCAGGCCTTTTTTATAATTTTTTATGGGAAAATAAGTGTCCCTATGTTGAATTGTTTGCAGGTCGAGGTGTCCGTATGTTGGGGGTCTCCTTTTTCTCCAGGCGCAGCTTAATTTATATTTGTATTCGTCTTCAACAGGATTGAGGAAGGAGAACGAGCCTTACGATTCTGCGGAATTCTTCGAGCTCATTGATCAACTCGCTCTCTCGTTCAGCAACAGGTGAGAAGCCTTCATTTTCAACTCACTATATATTTCCAAATATTTTGTTTCCCGTGAACAAAAACGTGAAACTTCGAGCTAAGGGATTTGTCAAAGTGCGCCGTTTCATTCGTTGCTTTGAGCTTTGAAACTAAGGCCACTAATGTTCCTTCCAGTTATTCGCAGTTCCCCCCCCCCCTTATTGAAAGGAACTGCCTGTCACATTTCACGGTTGCAGATTGTTCGCATTCTTGTGGTTTTTTATTTTTTAGAGTTGCCGTTTCAGTACTGGAAGGTACTGTACAGAGTATTTATTTGAGTTGGTGCATAAGGCTAATCTTGGGGAAGAGGGTCAGGGTTGAAAAGGTTGCTTGTGAAACGTGACTGGGCAACGATGGCTGCTTTTGATCAACGGTCTTTCATTCTATGTTTTTATTTTTTCTATTTTGCGAAATGCAGTGAGACCCATATATGAAGACATCTCAACATGGACAATTTGACATAGGGACACTTATTTTCCCAGAATAATTGATAGAAAAGGCCTGACATGAGGACACTGTCTGGACATACGGACATTTTGTGATAAAACTGCAAATAATTTTCAGGCCAAATTACAAGAAACGAATATTTCCAACCCTATAATTGATGTAAGAAAAGTTCTTGGGCATATCTTTCACCAATTTACCATCCATTTAGCTAATTTTAAAAAATTGCTGCCATCAGAGAGGGACTTCCTTCTCTCTTTTTCACTTGAATGTTTCAGAGAGGGACTTCCTTCTCTCTTTTTTTTTTTTTTTTTATATTTACAGAGAATGCCAACATTTCTATGTACTGTACAGAGGTATCAGTATTCAATTCCTTAAATGGCCATATTGCGTTGAAATATATTGATTGGAATCAGTTTAAATTGGGAGACCATTTTTATTTTCATGGAATCATGGTGAGTATTTTGCACATGAAACACCAATTGAAATTTATATAATGTAAGTCTAAGGGAAAATGAGACTCTACTTTTTCAACTTAGGGACACTCTTGATGCACCAATTACGCCCGCATCTCAGGGTCTCACTGTATATAGAAAAAAGATGAAGGATGTTCTGATTTTTTTTATGTGTATTACAGTGTACATATCACAGTGAATAAAGAGAGGAATGAACACATGGATTTGCTTCTATGTCAAATAGTCCTTGTCTCAAAATCCTCTCTGTCTCTAAATGTACCTGTCTCAAATTGTCCCTGTTTCCAAAAGTTTCTGTCTCAAATTGGCCCTGTCTCAATTTTTCCTAGATCCTTATGCATAATTAAAATTATTCTTTCTGAATTGGCTTTTTTTTCTGCTGAATATATATTTTCTTTATGTACTGAAGTACTGTACCTTGCTCATTGTTGCGAATTTAGGCAGTGCTTTTCCTATAAAAAAAAATGCCAATTTAACCAGCTCTGCTTATCACCACTTCAATTGAACATCAAGCTCTCAAATACAGCGCCAGATTTTAATTTTTTCCAATGTCTATTGAGTTTGAGTTTCAGCCCCTGCCAAAACCTGTCCTTCCAAATTGGGTTTCATCTCAACTCCCACAATAAAATAAGAAACAATAAATGACCAATGGTAAAAAAATTTGTATCTTTAGAAACCAGAAATGGGTTGAGAAACATAACCTCAATATCTAGGGCCATCTCAACTGGAATATTCCAGAAACCTTTTCCTTCTCATTTTATGACACGTGTTCTTTGAATTTGGTAGAGACAAGAAGATGCAAGTGCTTAAATTGTTGATACTTGCAAGCATTGAAATTGCCTACTTGTACTATTTTTTTAAAACAATAAGACCAACTTTAAGCCAGGGTGAAAAAACACCCCAGCTGCAGCCCAACTGATTATTGTGTTTTATTTACACATATTTCTTCCTTCCTAAATTCTCCTTGACACTCGTTCAAATTGTTTTCAAAATAATTAGCAAAAAATCAGAATTTGCGTGATGGGGGGGGGGGGGTGCGAAATTTTCTTCTGAATTGTGAGACATTCAGGTGCATGTCAAAGTTCAGTTTGGGGGAAATTATGAGTCTTCAGCGACGTTATGAGAGATTAATTCATTTGAAGGAATCAAAGCTGCTGAAATATAACATATGCTTGTAATGTAAAAAAAAAAAATGAGGAGACATCTGAAGGCAGGTTCGATTTTAGTCTTGAATTGCATTTTTTTGTACAGCACTCAATTCTTGAACTGTGTACATTACTGTACACAGAGGGACTTCCTTCTCTCTTTTTCACTTGAATGTTATTTTCACAGAGAAATAAAAATGAATGAAAAAAATTCAGACTAACTAATTGAGGTGTGAGTCTCATTTGAGGGCTCATGCTATTGGATTAAATACCTTATAAATCCGAGATCAGCTTTTGTTCCTGTGTGTGATTCATCAAATAAATGGAATCCTGAGAGTTTTTGTCATCATTTATTTTTAAAGCTACAAAAAAATCGTCCCATTCAGGGTGATGATTTTTTCCTTTTCACGAAAAAAACTTATCAATTACGGTAACTTGGTACTATACTGTACTTGCTTTTGAAACTTCTCTGTTCTCGAGCAAAAGTTAAAATATGTTTCCCTTCTTTTCTGTCAGGATGTCGGAATACCTCATGGGGGATTTGGACAGTGTGTCTTCGATGACTGGTGGATCGACGAAAACTGGGGTAAGCAATGGAAGCATCATGCATTCCGTATTTTTTTTATTACGAGGGTTCTAACAAAAGTTCTCGGAATTGAAATTAAAAGCGCATACAATTGAGCTTGAAAAAAATTATTTTTCAGGGAAAACATATTCTTTGGCACAAAGAAAAATTCAGCCCTGTTAAACTAATTTTTTTTCTGAATGTTTTTGCAAACAACCTGATTGGCTGAAAGGAGATAAATTAATTGTTCGAATATTCAATTAACATGGACTGCCATCTAATGGCAACCCAATAGAATTATTCCAGAGCATTCTAGATTATTTAACGCACATTATATAATCAGTGATCTAATGGTTCTGCCACGCGAGCTTCAGTGTAACTGAAAATTTGTTTTGAAGAAACACAAATAACATGGTGGCTATCGGACATATGTACTTGAGAAGAAGAATTCCTTGTAATTCAGTATTTATTTATTTTTTTACTAGTTTCGTTGTTACGAGATTTTACTTCATGAACACGAGGGTTGGGAGTACGTTGCATCATGCTCTATAGTAAAGTTGGCCTTTACTTTGGACAATTTAATCGAAGCCTGAATGATTCGAATTTCCACCGTTTTTTTTTTTTTTTTAATTCATACTTTTGCTTTTATGTCCTGCTGGAATATGTGTCGAGTTCAATTCGTGATAAATTTGAACGATCTAAGAGTTGTAAACGATTCGTGAATTTGAAGGGATTATTTTTCGTGAACCCGAATTTGAATATAGTCCTCGGAGTACCTGGCCAGCCTGGATATGGAAGGCGCATCCGTGGGATCCACCGGCGAGGAGACCAAAGACGACGAGTGGACCGACGAGAAGGCTGATGCTGTGTTGCTGAAGCTGGAACAAGGCGTGGAATACTCGCTTCATCGAGCCAAGGTTTGTCTCTTTTTTTTTTTTTCTTCCACCTCAGTTCGGCACTGGGAATATGCGCGAGTATACCCAGTGAAATCCAGTTCTACCCGCATGCGCTCTCAAAGCACGCAGCGACCTTTCATTCTTCGCTTTTTGGGGGACATCCGCTGTCTGGATCAAGCATGTTGTTGAAATGAGGAAACCATGCAATGTCCATGATTTTTTTGTGAAGAAAAATTGTTTAAAGATTTAGGATAGTTTAGGTTAGGTGTTAGGTTGAATGTTTAATTATTGTTGTCGTACACTGTGGGTTTTACAATCAATACGAATATTAATTCTGTATAGAAAAACCTTTAAGAGGATAACCAATAATTTGTGCAGACAATTTGTTTTAAAGATTTGTACCTCTTTTACCAGGTGGATCCTGGACCGAGTACCTTTAGTACTCTAGACAATTGAGAAATAATAACACAAGCAAGATCGACTTTACAAGTGTATATTCAGTTCCAACATATACGCGATATTTCAACCTGCCTACAACGGACTCAGTTCCTCTCTGAGGGTATCTTTACCACTGAAGTCCACTGGGCCATACAAGGCCTTTTATTAACTCTGTTAAAACCAGACAGTATAAGGTCATCGCTTGGCGATGGCCATCCAGCCAGACAAAGAAAGGAGACACACACATATTCCGCAACACAGTATACGCTGATAATTTATGGGGCAGTCGACTGCCTGGGGAGAGCTGTAATTAGGGCAAGTAACGATGGAAACCCAGTTGCGCGTGCATGCGCGGCCATCCACATTAATGAGTGGGGCAAGGGGCAAAGGAAAGTTAGAGCAAATTTAGAACAGCTGACAACATTATATGTTAGGTTAGGTTTAATTAGATGTTAGGTTAGGTTTAATTAGATGTTAGGTTATGTTTAATTTTATGTTAGGTTAGGTTTAATTATATGTTAGGTTAGGTTGAATTAGATGTTAGGTTAGGTTAGGTTGATTTAGGGTTGTTCAAGCTAATTTAGGTTAGGTTAGTTCATTTTAATTTTGGTTAAGTTGATACAGGAATTGATATGTTTCTTCTTTTTCTGCAAATTTTTCCAAGATGCCATGTCATCGAAAAAAATATCGGAAAATAAATTTTTTATGTCCCCGAAAAACAAGGTATGGAAGTTCAAAGTAACTGGTTTGAGGGCATGGTGCTGGGAGAAGGGATTAGCGCTGGAAATTCGATGCCTGAATCCAGTTCAGCACTGTTTTACCTTTCAGAATTACCTGTTTTTTGTTTGTTTGTTTTTTCCTGTCGGATTAGAACTTGATTCAAGACGAGCATCATTTGAACGCCGATAAATTACGCGCGCCTGCGAGTTTAGGACGCACGCTGATGTGATGAGTTTATTTTATTTCTAATGTTTATTTTTATTTTTTCAAAGGTTTGGTCGAAATATGCGAAGGATGTGACGTCGTACGTGGAGAAACGAGCCGCCCTTGAAATGGAGTACGCTAAAAATCTCAACAAGCTCGCACGCAACGTTCGGCCGACATTGAACGAAGAG